GACTACAGTATTAACTAACCCTAACATTCCAATAAGACAATAAAATGTAGTTAAAAATACAAATAATATTAATAATAATTAAGTGAAAAAAAAATCAAAACCTTATAAGAATAATATCACGGTTTACAGTGCTAGCGAAGTTTAACGGACGGTTAAAGACTCATTTCTTCTAGGGGGGGGGGGTCGCATGTCGTTAAGTTAAGTCAGCACGTGCGTTACTAAGGTAATAACTTGTAATGTTGCTTGGAGTTTAACCAAATCAGCCGTGAAAATTGCTAAGGTGAAAATCTGTTTGGCGTTAAGTTAAATCAGCGTTAAAACGTAATAAGACAACTGTTATTTTGTTGCGAGTGTAAAAACAACCATTTGTAAATAATAATAGCGCGAGATGCATGTTTCCTATCTCGTGTACGTGTCTCCTCACTGGGAGATTATTTTGGCATTACCTATAGAACCATTGGATTTAATTTGTATAATCACTTTTTTTCTGTTTCTATTAAACAATAATTCATCTAATGGAAGAGATATACTATTCATGTACAAATATAAGGGGGACAAATCCCCTTTATAGAAAAATGACACTTTTCATGTACAACTGTAAGGGGGATAAGTCCCCTTCTAAAAATGATATAATATTCGTGTGCAAATGTAAGGGGGACAATTCCCCTTAAAAATTAGAAGGACGTGATAATACTATTCAAACATTATCGAATAATATGAAGTGATAATGCCCTTATTAACCTACAAATTTGAGAGGTTTTCGTGTAATATTAGATAACAACTAGTTTCCTGCCTCGCAGCGATCGGCACTCCCAAAATGTGTTTGTGATATAAAAAGTTTTGCATTGTTTACATAACTTTGTTGCACACATTATTGTAACGCGGGAAACTCGAGTGTTGTACTGTAACAATAGTGGCTCCAGGCGATAAAAGGAGCAGATAACATCCTACCAGATATTCTCGTAGGGGTGGTGGTGTGGGGGGGTGGTAAGAACCTTTTCCTGGAATCTTAATCATAAAGTAAATACCGCGTGGATTAAATTTAACGTGCAGTTTTTCTGATTTATTTTGAGTTTTTGGTTCTTCGGTAAAGTTCTAATATCCAAGGATGATTTGTCTTCCTTAACATTTCTGTAAATGAAGTGGAAGGACTCGGTTTTATTGCAGGAAGATAAGTTAACCTGTGGTACGCTACGTATTTCCAAACAACTCACATGATTTGGGTAAAAATACATAAATTTTGCTTAACATCTTTTTCGTGTGCTTTTAAGATTTTTTTTTTGACAAATGTGGGGAGGGAGGGGAGACAACCACGTGTGCATTTTTGTAAACATTATTTTCTTGTGTTTTGAAGAGTTTTAAAAATGGTAAAGCTTTTCAAGAAACGGATTAAGGGGTCCATGGTTCGAAGCGTAATGCCGCTAAACACACTGCACTTTCATCTCTGAGCGCGTTATAAAAGTGACAGTAATATTGTGGAGTTTGATATTGGTGTCTGGGTGCCTTCTTTGTATAGTCATTAGTTCAAAGTTAAGGACTGCGGCACCTGAATCCAAGGGGGGTCTTTGACTTGGTCCTTTTATCCCCATGAAGCCCAAACTGTGAGGCGCGAAGAGTCGGTAAAGGGGGAGTGCGCGAAACTGTGACATAGGAGGATATGAACTACATCTGCAAATACAAATTTAACAAGATTTAAAAACTACCTTACAAATGTTAATACTATGAAGTAATACAATAACAATTAATTTGGTTATAGGAGGTGCTGAGCTAAAACGACACCACTGGTTTAACATTACTAAGTTGTTATACCCTTTATCAGTAAGTGTTCAGGATTTTTGTATCATCGTGTAATAAACCAGATTATTTTATCAACATCTCTTATTGTTTGGAAACGTTGTGACGCAATAGTAAAGATTGATATATTACTTAACCACTAAACTCATAAAACATGTTGATAAGTTTGTTCATTTAAGGCCAAATCGTATGTCTGTCTAAAAATTCTTCCAGCAGTAGAGCCCGTCCTTTAAGTGTCAGTTTGTTTGGGCGTCTCCTGGTGGGACACCGTTAAATCTACGGACATACAATGGAGTTCGATTCCATGCGGTGGAACATCAGATATCCCATTTTGGCTTTGCCCTAAACAAAACAAATAATTTTGTTTTGAATTTCGCGCAAAGCTACTCGAGGACCACCTGCGTTAGCCGTCCCTAGTCCTAGAAGTGATAGACTATAGGGGAGGCAGCTAGCCAACACAACTCACCTCCAGCTCTTGGACTACTCTTTTTATAAACAGATAGTGCAATTGACCGTCACGTTATAACGCTCCCACTATTCGTTGGTAAAACAGTAGCCCAAGAGTTGGCGGTGGGTGGTGATGACTAGCTGCCTTCCCTCTAGTCTTACACTGCTAAATTAGGGACGGCTAGCGCAGATAGCCCTCGTGTAGCTTTGCGCGAAATTCAAAACAAACAAACAAACTTAACCTATATCGGAGTCTCATTGTAGCGCCATCTATTGCAAAAGGTAACAAAAATAACTGGATTTGTTTGTATAAAGATGTTTAAAATGTTTATACGTTTATAGAAACTAGACTGTTAAATGCCTTGTTCGTCTAGAACAAAAAGTTAAATCATCTTTCAATATTAACTTATTTAAACACTAAGAGAAAAAACACACGATGCATTGCAATATTTAAAACTAGGTCATGTCAGTCGTAGAAATTGATTATAGTAGATGTGGTATCACAGAATCGGTAGACTACATTTATGGATGGCCAAGATACTCAATAGGCATAATACATTTCAACATGTGACAGAGAGTTTTAGTTTAAAAGATGAATGACACTCACTTTCATTTGTTTCTCTACCCAACAAGGGAAGAAACCATCACTAAACCAGAAAGTGACCAACCCACCAAATTGTTCATCCTTCTTGTTGTTTCAATCGAGATAAAACTACAACTACTTTATCATTAACGTCAGTTTAAACCTAAATCCACTCTAGGTGATTCTGAACAGTGCATGATGTCATCACTGTCGTAATAACTAGTAGTAATATAAAAATAAACGATGTTATCATTAGCCCTTGA